GCCCTCCCGGCTGTATGCAAATGAGAGGCCGAGTAACGAGGTGCGATGTGTGCGGCTATGCGGCCGGGTAAAGGCGCGGGCCGTGTGGGGGCGAAGATACGACGACAACAAGAAAAGAATAAAAGGGGAAAAAAAGACCTCGCGCCAGCTGTTTGGCATCGAACCCGCGCGGCCGCCCCCCGCGCGCACGTCCGCGAAAAGAACAAAGTTATGACCGCGCGCACGGGACAACGCGAGTTCAGAAGTTTGTTGTGGTTTTTTCTCTTTCCCCTGTGTGTTTGTCTGCGGGTATCGAGCGGTCGTGGTGGTGGTGATGATGGTTCCAGCTCAGAAGGGCTGGCAAGTAGTTTACCGGGATGTTGGCGTTGGCCTGGCCTCTGGCGGCTATCTCCAGTGCAGCTGCAGCTAGCCGCACAGCGCAGCAGCAGCAGCTCCGCGAGCGCAGTGCAGCAGTGTGCTACAGCACATTACATTTTATCGAATCGGACGCAGGCGCGCGATAATCGGACGAAAACAGCCGCGATCATGCAGCGGCAGGGAGGCCGGTGCGGCTGCAGCGCTATGCCTGGGATTGTTATAGCCTCCCGCCTGCGTGCCTCGCGCCTGTTAGACTGCTGCTGCTGCGCCGAGAGAGGATTTCTCAGGATTTTCTTACGCTGCCGTGTCATGTGTGAGGTGTAATTGCCTAGCAAAACTTTTCCGCGCGCGAGAGTGGCTGCTGTGCTGCCTGACTCTATGGAGGGCGCGGCAGCAAGTGTGTATGGTGCGCGCCTAAAAGCTCCCAGTCGTGATTATGGCTTTCCCTTCGATTGGAATCGACGCCATGACGCCCTTGAATCGCCTGCTTGTGTGTGTGCAGACAGTGAATAAGGACGAGAGTGGGTGGGCTGCTGTTTACGGCTACCGGCCTGCCCCTCCGCGAGGACACGGCTGTCCAACCTGTACTACTACTCGTGGGCGGCGGTGGCGGAGCGAAGGGCCGCAGAGTCGGAAGAAGGCGCGGAGGTCCGGGGAGGACCGAGGGGCGGTGGACGGTGGACGGTGCGCCCTCGTACGACGACTACGCTACGCCACCGTCGCACACCCTGCTACGCCTCCGACACGTCCCCGCGCGCGTGAGTTTACGATCTCTCCACCCCGACGGGCCGTGTGTCCATTCGGCAGTACATAGTGTATTTCGAGCGAAAGATGAGGTTGGGATAAAGAGTAGAGAGGGGAGGGAAGAAAGAGACGGGGGGAAGGAGCGCGGGGCTCTACGCGGTCGTTGTTGTGCGTGTGGTCAGGGGGGGCCCTATGCGGCAGCGCGGGGGACCGGCCAGCCGGGCGCGGCGGCGGCGGGCAGGTCGCAGGATGACATAAAATACACGCGTGAATGGGAGGCTGCCCCCCGCATCCTCCGCCCGCCCCGCGGAGCAGGGAAGGGCGCTGCACCCGGCCCCACCGGTCGGTAGGTAGGTAGGTGGGTAGCCTATTCGCGGGCACGTCCGCGCACTGCCGCGCACTGCCGCACCGCGCAGCGGCAACGAACGCCAATTGATTCCGCCTCAACTTTACGACGCCCGTTGTAGCGTAGTGTTCCGCTGCTACCGGGCACCGCACCACCAACCACAAGCGGCACCCGGGCAACGTCCTCGGCCCCGTCCACGCACACACGA